TAGCATGGAAGCACCCCCCCTTCGGAAAGAGGAGCCCGGGCTTACCCCGGGCCCCGAAAACAAGCGGGGGGGAGCTTCCAAGTTCCCCCCCTCTTGAGCTAGGGCCCCCCCCCCCAACTACAACATCCAAAAAAAGGGAGAGGGGGCAACTTCGGAAGCCCCCTCCCCCTTTGAAAGGGGAGCCCGGGCTGACCCCGGGCCTCGAAATGGGAGGCAGGGGGGCTATCTTCCGAGCACCCACCCTCTATTTAGGACCCCCCCCAACTAAAACATACGCGCAACAGGGGGGGAGGGCGGGGGAGCTTAGGAAGACCCCCCTCCTTTTCCAGGGGAGAAGGGAGGGGGCAGCTTGAAGCTGGGACCCCCCTTTTTCGTCAGAAGCGTGCCACGAGCGCGCTCGTTCACATAGGTGTGCTAGTTTTAGGTCGGGCCTCTCCCTCTACAGGGGGATCTTGGGCGAGAAATCAAGAATTAAGAATTCCTTCGGATACGCCAAACATAACCAAACATTGTCAAAACAAACATCGTCACCCGACAATTTTTCTATTTTCGAATATTCCTCCTGTAGAGGGTAAGACCCGATTTAATGCCAGATGGCTGGAATTCACGGGGCGCGCGCAAACGAGGCAAACACCACGGCGGGCTGGGACGCTGGGCCAACCATGCGACAACACGCGTGGTGAAGAGGCACGGTACCCCTTCGCACCACCAGGTTCATGGGGCGGGGTGTGGGGGGGGGGAACCACCAGGTGGGGACCTTTTGCCTGAATGGCGCTTCGCAGAAGAATACCAGTAGCGGCTTCAAGTAACAGCAGTAGCAGCAGCATCAACAAAATCAGCAGCAGCAACAACAACAATCATTTTAAGACTGTTCGCCCGTATCTGCTCGAGTGTCCAACAACGCGTATTCCCCAAATCCTCGGTACCCGCCCTCTTCGTTTTCGGTCGAACTCCTTTTGGGGGGTAGACCATTTTTCCCTGCAGGCTGGGCCCCGGCAAGCGGCGGGGCGGCCGCGGACCGTCGGCCTGGCCAGCGGCAGCGCTGATCGGCGGGGCGGCCGCGGACCGTCGACCTGACCCCAAGAGGGACGGACAGGGGACCGACCACGACGACGACGACGACGACGACGTTGACGACGACGGCGACGGCGACGACGAGCGAAAGCGAGAGAGAACGACAGCAGGGCCACGAAGGACACGAACTAGGCCACGAAGGGCGACAGCGGGGACACGAAGAGAATGCGTATGGGGCCACGAAGAACGCGAACGAACGGGGGCCACGAAGGGCAGGTAATGCGGGGCCACAGAAGGCAACGATGGGGCCACTGAAGGTAGCAACTGGGCCACGTAGGACATTGACAGGGCCACAAACGGCGACAGCGGGGCCACGAAGGGCATGCACATGAGGCCAAAACGGGCGCGACTCCTGGGTGCCTGGGTGTCGGGAGCGCGGCGCTTGAGCAAACTACAAAAAAATCCAACGCAAGGGCGCTATTCTTCAGTAAATTGCAAGCAAATCCCCAACGAGAGCGCGACTCCAGAGCGCAGGGATAGCGATTCCCGAATAAACTGCAAGGCGATACCAAGCGAGAGCGCGGTTCCTGAATAAAATGCGAGGAAGTTTCGGGCGGGAGCGGGGGTCCTGACAAAATGGTGAGGAAGTCTCAGGCGGGAGCCGTCGCTGTTGTAACCTGGGGGCCAGGGGCGCAGGTTGAGCATCAAGACTTCCCTGTCAAACATCAGGGCGCGAGCGTCGAGCGGCACACTTTGAGAACAAACAGCATGCACCGGTAAGAGGGAATCAACAATAATTCTTCTCCAGAAATGCAAGTTTAACCGCAGCAGCAACAACGGCAGCAACAACATCAACAACAGCAGCAGCAACGACAACACCAACAACAACACCAACAACAACACCCAAACCAACAGCAACACCAACAGCAGCAGCAACGACAACAACAACAACAGCAACAACACCAACAACAACAACAACAACAACAACGGCAACATCAACGGCAACAACTACAAAACACCATCAACAACAGCAACAACAACACCACTACCGCCATCACCAGCAACAACACCAGCACCAACGCCAGCAACAACAACACCATCAACAGCAACAACCATCATTTTTTAAGACTGGTCACTCTCATCTGCTCGCGTGTCATTTCAATATGCATATCCCAAACCCTGGACACCCGCCTTGTTCGTCTTCGATCGTGCCCCCTTTTGGTGGGTACATTCACGGCCTGCCACGCGTGGTTGGTGAAGCCCCTGAAAACGAAGGGCAACAGATAACGGGGGAAAATGGGGGCGAAGGGATCGGAGGAAGGGAGGGGAGGGGCGAGCAGGAGGGAGGAGGCGGATTTGCGCTGCGAGTGGCGGTTCAGTTTGCGCCATGGCTTGCGCCAGCCACTCCAACGCAGGCCAACAATAAATTTAGCCATGGGTCGCGCCATAAACGGCGCCACGTACCGCACCTTGAAAGAACGTATCTTGGATGCCCCCACGGAGGGACCCACAGCTGCGAACTGGTGTCAGAAACAAATTTCGTGGAACCCTGAAAAGAAGCGGGATGTTGGGAGATTGGGGCGGAAAGATAATGAGAACTGCGGACGGGGTGGGCAAGAGTAGGGTATCAGGAGGAGGAGCGGCAAGGAGTGGAGAAGAGGAGCCGGGAGGAGTGCGGAGGGGCGGGGGGGGGGGGCGCGCGGAGGAATCTGGAGGAGGGGCCAGGGAGAATGTGGGATACATGCGGAATGCGAGCGGGAAAGGGGTGGAGATTGCTGGGGTGGGATGGGGTGGCCTGGGGAGGAGTGGGCGGAAGAATGGTACACTGGAGTACGAACCACATGAACATGAAGATAAAGGGAACGAGCAAAGAAAACTGGGAAAGAACGTTGAAAAATGAGGGCAGGTGGGTGCGAGCGGAGACTGGTGCGGAAACAAGGCGCGGGGGGATTGGAAGGCACCCGAAAGCCTCCTATGACCTCTGGGGGGCCTCGGAATGGCCCCGATGACCACCGCGCAGTTCCAGAGGCTCCGAAAACCTGCGGGGAATCCCCGGGGGCCTCGTCGAGGGAGGCCTGAATTCGAAGCCTCAAGGAAGTCCCAAGCGAGAGCGCGATTCTTCAATACATCGTAAGGAGGTATCAGGCGGGAACCGTTGTTGGCGCGGGCCACGACGGGCGCGAACGAGCGGGAGCTCCGAGAGGCATGCGTATAGGGGGCCGCAGAGGGCAGCGACGGAGCCGCTGAGGGCAGACACGGGGCCACGAAGGGCAGAGAGGGGGCCACGAAGAGTGACAGCGGGGCCACGAAGGGCATGCATATGGGGCCACGACGGGCGCGAACGAGCGAGGCCGCGAAAGGCATACAGGTATGGGGCCAGAAAGGGCGACAGCGGGGCCACTGAACGCAGAAAATGGACCACGAAGGGCAGCGAGGGGGCCACGACTGGCGACAGCGGGGCGACGAAACGCATGCGTATGGGACCACGAAGGGCGCGAGCGAGCGAGCGGGGGCCACGAAGGGCAGGTAATGCGGGGCCACAGAGGGCAGCGACGGGGCCGCTGAGGGCAGAAACGGGGCCACGAAGGGCAGAGAGGGGGCCACGAAGGGCGACAGCGGGGCCACGAAGGGCATGCATATGGGGCCACGACGGGCGCGAACGAGCGGGGGCATTCGTTTTGGGGGCCACAAAGGGCGACAGCGCGGCCATTGAGGGCATCAGAGGGGCCACGAAGGGCAGCGAAAGGGCCACGAAGGGCGACAGCGGGGCTACGAAGGGCATGCGTATGGGACCACGAAGGGCGACTTCGAGCGGGGGCCACGAAGGGCATATAATGCGGGGCCGCAATGGGCAGCGACGGGGCCACTGAGGGCAGCAACGGGGCCACGAAGGGCAGCGAGCGAAGGCGACCGCGGAACCAGTACGGGCAGCGAAGAGCATCGAAGGCGGGCGAAGGGCAGCGAGCGGCGACTGCAGTCCCTAACGGGCTGGTCGGGCGGGCAGGCCCAGACGGGCGGGTCGAGCGGGCGGGTCGTTGAAGCGTAAGTTCTGCTTGAACCGCCAAGCAATATGTAGCGGGAGCGCGATTCCTGAGTGTCGAGGAGCGGCATCTGGATAAATTCTAAGAAAGTATCAGGCGGGAGCCGCGAGCCGGTGGTACATTGCAAGGAAGTCCCAAGCGAGAGCGCGATTCCTCAATACATTGTCAGGAGGGATCAGGCGGGAACCGTTATTGTTGTAAACCGGGGGCCAACGACACAATTTGACCCTCGAGACTTTCCCGGATAAAAAAACAGGGTGCGAGCCCCGGGAAGGGCACTTCAATTGAGAAAAAAAACAATGTGCACCGGACGGGGGGATCAACAATACGTATTCTTCAGAAGTGAGCGTTCAACAAAACAGAACAGGCTAGCGGGGGGGGCGGGGAACCCCAGACCGCCCGGTCGGGCAGCCGGTCTGGCAGCTGTTTCGCCGCAGACCTCCCCGCCATGGATGCAAGAATCACGTTCTCGCGTTAATTTGGCGGTGCGCACAGGGGGGTAGGGGGAGGGTGGCCTTTTAAAAGGAGGCTGGTTTTAAGAAGGCGCGGGCGTTCGATCTACAGACAAGGCCCGCGCCTTCTGAGACCTTCTAAGAAGCCTTCACCCCTCCCCCTACCCCCCGCTGCGAGTGGCTGGTCAATGCTGGCAGCATTGTTGGTCCGCACGGCCATGATCCCCGGTGACAAAAAAAATGAGGTGCACATGGCCGTGCTCTCGCCCCTGGCCCAGCTGCATCTGTGCTGCTTGTAAGTGGTTCACTGTGGTATTACAGCTGGACATATGATCAAGAAATGCATCACTGAAGAAACCTGGGCCAGCTTTCCCGAAATTTATTGAAACAAACCTGGGCCAACTGTTCTTGTTCACGCTGGAATGGCGTAGGTGCTCAGGAAGCTGGGCCAGCTGTTCGGCAAGGCGGCTAAGAAACGCCGGCGCATCTTTTCGCGGGGAGGTTTCAAAATCATACATTCTCGACCGTATTTTCTCAGCGCGCGCGGAGGTGCCCCAAGAAGAATTGGCACCGTGTGCTCGGCTGCAGCATGGCGCCGCTCGCGCGGAGGCCTGCGGGCAGAAAGACGCCTGCCCGCGGTACGGATCGAGCCGCTGCCGCTGTCCGAAGGACGACGGCCAACAGCAGGTGAGACGCAAGCAAGATTTCGGCGGGTGGGCCAGGAGCAGCGTCTGAGTCAGGCGCTGCCCGTTAACGTAGAGGCCTCCTGGATGGGGTCGGAGTAGATGAGGTCGGAGGATCGCGCCGCATCGCCGATACATCGGAGATGCATCGGCGATGCACCTGCGAGGCATCGTCGACGTTGGCGACGCATCGGCGACGTCGACGTGAATCAAATGGGGCCCCACATCGATCCGCAAAAGCGATGCATCGGCGATGCGGCGAGATCCTCCGAGCCCATCTGCTCCGGTCCCATCTAATTAGGAAGCCTAGAGTAAGACGAAGCCGAGACGAGGATAAACTCGGGTGTGGATACCTCGAGAACCTCTGAGATCCGGCGGTTCTGGAGGATGCCTCGTGCGCCGCGGCCTGCTCAAAGCGTTCCGGAACGCTCTGGGAGCGCTCCAAAACGCTTTGGAACGGACTTATCCTCGTCCGAAGCACGTCCGAAAGGATGATCGTCATGAAGAGGAGGAGGAGGAGGAGGAGGAGGAGGAAGAGGAGGGGGAGGAGGAGGAGGAGGAGGAGGAGGAGGAGGAGGAGGAGGAGGAGGAGGAGGAGGAGGAGGAGGAGGAGGAGGAGGAGGAGGGAGGAGGAGGAGGAGGGGGAGGAGGGGGAGGAGGAGGAGGAGGAGGGAGCCAGCGTTCTGGCAGGGCGGCCAGCAGCGCGGGTGAGACGCAGACAGAGTGTGAGCGACGCCGTGAGAGGGGTCCTACGCACGGTGTCATGGCGGCCTTACGCGGTGGCTTCTCGGAGCCGCTCACGCGCGACCTCACGCAGGAAGCCCAGCGTGAGCGAGCGACTCGAGCATGACAGGGGAAACGATTTAAAAAACAAGTGCTTCCAGCCCGGCGGGATTGCCACGATTGAATACTGACAGAAAGACGACACGAAAGGAGAAGGACAAGGACGACGAGGGAGGAGGGCCCCCCACCCCTCCTCCTCCAATTGTGAGATACGCAGAGATTGTCCACTCGTCCGACTCCAGAGCAGGGGAAACGACGACGACGACGCCGACGAAAGAGGACAGCCTCTCAATTGCACAGTTATCCTGCAAATGATAAATAATCGGCCTCAAAACCTTCAGCTCGTAGTGGAGTGTTCCATGGCTCATGCAACCCTGCGATGCAAACAATTGCGAGGATTAAAGGCCCGGACCACGGGTTGCATTCGAATTCCCCAGGATTCCGAGGGATTGCCGTGAATTCCCTGGGGTACAGTTGGGCTACTGAAAGAAGGAACGCTAAGTAAGAACGAAACCCCTTATTGGCCCAGTAAGCGCCTCTGTGCCCCAGGGGGGCAAGAGGAACAGCACTGGAGGAACCTACGGAACATCGAGCCCCTTCCGAACCCAAACTGTTTCTTATTTCAGCGTCTTGACTGTAGCGCAGCTGGCCCAAGAGGGCCCCAAGACGGTAAAGAGGGCTTCGAATCGCCGCACGATCGGTCCAAGACGCCCACGATTGTCTCCAGTCTGCCGGAAAAGCGACCAAGGCGTCCAAAAGGGCCTCCAAGAGCCGTCCCAAGAGGGCCCTGAGAGGCCAAAGTTATTGCTTTCCCCAACCATCCGGAAGGGTTGGGTCCTCGCTTTGAAGAGGCAACGCCCCGCGTTCCACTCCTCTCCTCCTTCCACTCCTCCCGCTTCTCCTCCGCCCTCCCTCCTCCCTTCTCCCACCCTTGCCACTGCTCTCCGCGCGTCATCAACATCACCCTCGTTATCGTCATCGTTATTGTCACCGTCATCAGTATTCGTATCATCATCCTTAGTATTACCACCATCATGATTATCAGCATCATCATCATCATCATCATCATCATCATCATCGTCATCATCATCATCATCATCATCAGCATCATCATCATCATCATCAGCATCAGCATCAGCATCAGCATCATCATCATCATCATCATCATCATCATCATCATCTTCACCATCACCACCAGCAGCAGCAGCAACATCATCATCATCATCATCAGCATCAGCATCAGCATCAGCATCAGCATCATCATCATCAGCATCATCATAATAAGTATCAGTATCAGCATCAGCATCCGCATCCACATCAGCATCAGCATCGTCAGCATCATCATCATCATCATCATCATCATCATCAGCAGCAGCAGCAGCAGCAGCATCATCAGCATCAGCATCAGCATCATCAGCATCGTCATCATCATCAGCAGCAGCAACATCATCATAGCACAACCTTCACGAGAATCGCGGTCCCGTAGCGAGCCTCACCACAGGTCGCAGGGACGCCGCCCGCATGCGTCCGACCCATCCATTTCGGCACACCCCTCGCGAGGATCGTGGCCCAGGGAGCTCCACAGAAGGTCGCAAGGGCACCGCCCGCATGCGTCCGACCCACCCATTTTGGCACACCCCTCGCGAGGATCGTGGCCCAGGGAGCTCCACGGAAGGTCGCAGGGGCGCCGCCCGCATGCGCCCGACCCACCCACTTCGGCACACCCCGCACGAGGATCGTGGCCCCACAGTGAGCTTCACCGAAGGTCCCGGGGGCGCCGCCCGCATGCGCCCGACCCATCTATTTCGGTACACCCCTCACCAGGGTCGTGGCCCCACAGGGAGCTCCACCGAAGGACCCCGCAGGGAGCTCCCCCGAAGGTCCCAGGGGAGCCGCCCGCATGCGTCCGACCTGGCAATTTCAGCACACCCTCGCGAGGATCGTGTCCCCATAGGGAGCTCCACCGACGTGTTTGAATGCATTTGGGGGCCTCGACTTTTCGAGCTCCCAGCGGTCCACGACGGCCCAAGAAGCCCCCAAGACCGCCCCAAGAAAGCCCAAGAGGCCCCCATGAGGGCCCCCAGACGGCGCAAGAAGGCTCCAAGACCGTCCCAGAGGCGCCCAGGACGGCCCGAAAGTGTCCAGAGACAACCCCCAAAAGAACCCAAGAGGGGAAAGACTAACGGAAAATCAGAGTCTTCCGCCCCAAGAGGCCTCCAGGAGGCTCCAAGGAGGCGCCCAGGGGCCCCCAAGAGGCTCGAAGAGACCCCCACGACGCCCCAAGAGGCCCCGAGAGGGCTTCCAAGAGGCCTCCAAACGGCCCCCAAGAAGCCCCCGAGAGGCCCCCCCGCGACATCCCAACGAGCATCCTAGAGGCCTGTGGCCCACAACCCAGGCTCTGTGGCGGGATGGGCCGAATGCCATTCCAGTGTTTAGTTGGGCCGAAGCAATCACGTCCATATAAGTAGCCCCTTCGCACGCGAAGCGCGTCGGGCTCATGGAGGCCCTGCCTCCATAACTTCCTTGGAACAGAAACCCACGCACTGCTTCTCAGGACAGTGTAAAACAACATGAAGTCTGATGCTCTGCGCGCGCTGAAGCACCCCGAAACCACTGTGAACAAGCACCCCGCGCCTGTCAATACACCGTCTGAGGCAGAGCACTGCCGCAGACAACGACCTCTGGAAGTGCACGCCTCGACGCCTGAAGCACCCTGAACCTTTGAAAATGACCCCCAGCATCGGAAATATTGAGTTCTGAGCCGCCTTGAACCCTAACCAAGTCACCCCGTGCCTCTGCAGAGGCGCTGCTGGTTCACGACTGATCGAGACAAAATGCAAACCACCAGAAGGCATTCACACTCCGGAGCTAGTATGGCAATCGCTTGCTCTAACGTGGCTCGTACTGCTCTGCGTAGTGATGCTGAAGCTAGATTAACAACAACACTCTAACATTAGGTCGAGCATGTCGTCCTACAGGAGAATGTTGGAAGACAGTTGAAAAGTTCCCCTAAAATATTCCAAATAGGCAAAAATAGGCGATACATCGTCCCCATAATATTGTTTGACTATTTTTCAATATCTCTCCTGCAGAGGGACATGCCCGACCTAACTCTAACTCCGAAGGGAGGAGGAGGAGGACGAGGAGGAGGAGGAGGAGGAGCAGCAGCAGCAGCAGGAGGAGCAGGAGAAGGAGGAGGAGGAGGAGGAGGAGGAGGGAGAGGGGAGAGGGAGAGGGGAGAGGGAGAGGGGAGAGGGAGAGGGAAAAGGAGGACGAGGTGGTGGAGGAGGCAAGAGGAGGAGGAGCCAAGGGCTGAGGCAGGAGGAGGAGCCGGCAGTACGAAGAGGAGGCAGGAGCAGGTGGGAGAAGGGAGGGGGGAGGAGGAGATCCTCAGGCAAACTTTGAACATATTCTCATGCGGGGCCCTACCGTCGGAGAATTGAATATTCCTCCTGCAGCGGGACGCTGCCCGACCTAACTCCAACTCCCCAAGGGCATGCCCCAGCAGCTCTTCTGCTCGGGCGCCCGAGACCTCGCACACAACAGCGCCACGCCCCCGAGCCCCTGGCGGCAACCGGACGAGGCGGGCGAGGGGGCGGAACCACAGGGAGACCCTGGGAGCGCAGGAGAGCGCCCAGGAGACCACGGCAGCACAGGAGGCCACTGATGGGCCTGTTTTCCACCACCACCACTACCACCGTAAGTTGGAGGGGGAGGAGGTCCGCCTCCTCCTCCTCCTCCTCCTCCTCCTCCTCCTCCTCCTCCTCCTCCTCTTCCTCTTCCTCTTCCTCTTCCTCCTCCTCCTCCCCCTCCTCCTCCTACTCCTCCTCTTCGTCCACCTCCTCCTCGTCCTCCACCTCCTTCCCCCTCCAACTTGTGGTGGTGGACCACGGTGTCACAGGAGACCGCGGTCCAAAACCTTTGGAAAATCAGTGGTTTGGGCTTTCTCGCCTTGTCGCTTCCGATGGCCATCCGAAGCCTCGAGATGGCTCCAAGATGGCCCAAAGGGGCTCCAAGAGAGGCTCAAGAGAGCCCCAAGACGGCCGCGCCCAAGAGCGCTCCAAGAGCGCACCAAGAGGCGACTTTTTGGGCTCCCGAGGGGCAGTCACAGGAGACCGCGGGAGCACAGCAACGGAGGGATCGAGAACACACGAGGCCACGGGAGCCAGGAGACCACGGGAGCACAGGAGACCGTGCAGGAGACCACGGGAGCACAAGAGACGACGGGAGCTCAGGAGACCACGGGAGCGCAGGAGACCGTGGACGCACAGGAGAACACGGGAGCGCACCGCTCCGCAAGCGCCTTCCGGCGCTTTCGGACAAGCCGCGGAAACACCATGGCTCAGCGCCCTGAAAGCGCTGCTCCCCAGCACTTCGAGAGCGCTGACCCAACGCTTCGCAGGCGCTGAGCCAGCGCTTCGCAGGCGCTGAGCCAGCGCTTCGCAGGCGCTGAGCCAGCGCTTCCGCGCGCAGACGCCCTGCAAGCGTCGTTTAGACGCCTGCAGGGCGCCTTGCAAGCGCCACCCGAGCGCTTGCAAACGCCCTTCATAGCGTAGTTCGAGCGTCTCTCGCTGCTCCTTCACCTTCTCCTCCTCGTCCTCCTCCTCCTCCTCCACCTCCTCCTCCTTCTTCTCCTCTTTGCTCCTCCTCCTCCCCTCCTCCTGCTCCTCCGTGTGGGAAGAGGTTGGGGGGAAACGAATAACACAAAGTGTTAGGCCCTGGTATTCTGTCCGTGGCCATTCCTATTGTGCAAACCAGGGATGGGAGAGATGGTGCTGTTTTACTGAGTTACCATTTGCTCACATTGCTCGCGAATGTGCGCGCAGTCGACCCTATTTTCTTGCGCCGCCTATGTGTTCGGTGTTTTCTGGGCGGTGGCCAAGCGCGGACGCCTCAAGGCAGGAGGGTGAAACATGGACGCCGTCTGCTGTGAAACTTGGCCGCTGGAAGGCGGCCGAAGTGAAAACGTTACTTGGATGCTGCCTGCTGTGAAACTTGGTCGCCAGAAGGCCTCCTGAAGCGAAAACGGTCCTGCCCTCAACGCGTTGTTCCGCGTAACGTCGGCACAAAACGCTCCGCACCCTCACGCATCCCTGACCAGCTTCTGCCGGCGCGACTTCACGAGGCGATCCAGCGCCGGGACTGGACCAAGTCACCGCGCCCGAGTTAGTCCGGGCACTGGCAGAAGCGGAAGAAAGGTGGAGAGCTCGAGAGAACGGGGGCAATTGGGTGAGCCTCCGCGGCCCTATCATGAACGTGACTTCGATCGGCTTTTCGTTCAGACTTCGACTAACCCTCTTCACCCGCTCGGCCAAATTTCGTCCAGATGTCGACTAGCTCTGGACGGAACCCCCGAGGCCGCAAGGAATTCTGGGACCCTCTGGGGCTTCCATGAATCGATGCCTTCCAGATGGTGTCAGAGTAGCTGGGGTCGGGGGATCGTGCCGCATCGCCGATGCATCGCCGATGCATCCGGGGAGTCGGTGATGCATCGACGCCGCGTGCGTGGAGAATATCGGGTTCCACATCGAGCCGCATCACCGATGCATCGGCGATGCGGCGCGATCCTCCGACCACCTCCACTCGGGCCCGCATCTGGGAGGCCTAGACACGAGGGACCACACTGGGGCCAGTCCAGCATCGGCGACGCGGGCCCCCGCGAAGGCTCCAGAAGGCGAACGCGCCAATGCCTCTGCCCCTCCTCCTCCCAAGCTCCCCTCCTCCTCCTCCTCCTCCTCCTCCCAAGCTCCCCTCCTCCTCCTCCTCCTCCTCCTCCTCCTCCTCCCTCCTCCCTCCTCCTCCTCCTCCTCCTCCCTCCTCCTCCTCCCTCTCCTCCCTCTCCTCCCTCTCTGGGGCACGGGAGGTCTGGGGCCATGCTCCGCTCTGACGCCTAGCCGCCAACAGCGGGCCTGGCCGCGCGCCCGCCGCCAATCACGGCCAGCCCGAGCTCGCCCTGGCGCTGCCTCCGCGGGCCCTCGCCCGAGGCTGGCCTTCGACCTGCACCGGCTGCGCCTGCGTGCCGCCTCTGAAGGGTCCAAGGTACACACAAACAGATCAGCATAAGTCCCAGGATTCCATGTATGTTCCCATATTTCCTGGATGTTAGTCTTCCCCTTCCACTTCCCATGTTCTCCGTTCTTCCTCCCTGGAATCGACGATTATTTGCAGCTGTGCGTTTTTTTCCTCCTGAACCTTAGGGGACCACCATCGGCCCAGACCCCGTCGGGTCATGAAACAATCACGACAGCAAGTAGTTCGTTAATTGCACCGCCAAGTCGTTGAACATCTTGCAACAAAATCAAGCAGGTTGTTTGAGGACTCGGGCTGAATCAACCAGTGCCCTGAAGAAGCAAAGCAACGCTGAGTGCGACGTCTGTCGACCGAGAAGTCAACAAATGCCAGCCTCTGGGAGCCTTCTACCGTGCCCCGGGGCCGTGAACAGAAACGACTCAGGATGGAAAGCCGGTGCTGGGGAAGGGGGTGCAGACCTCTGGGGGCCAACGTCATGAAAAAGATACGACGTCGGGGGTCCGGGTGGAGGGGACACCATCGACTCCGATACCGCATGCTTCCCGGACATCCCCCGGGGCAGGTCCCGACCAGGATCCCGAGGCAGATCCAGCAGGCCGTGGCGGCGAGGGACCCGGGGGAGGCCGAAAGAAGGCGAAAACGATGGATAGACGAGCGCGCTCCACTACTCGCAAAGCAACTATTCGCAAATGGCCTGGATCCGCCGTGGGGGATCTACGATAAATCACATCGAAGCAGACATGCGTTTTTCGGACGTTTGCGAGTAGGCACTTTGCGAGTGGTGGAACGTGCTCGGTGAAGGGAGCTGGCATCGGTGTCGGTCCGGCTTCCCTTCAGAGGACGAAGCCAATGCGGGAACCAAAAATTGGACCGCGGGACACATCGCGGGGCTCTCCGAGACCGGGCGGCTCTGGAGGATGTATCGGGCGCCCGCCACGGTTGTGCCAGAGCGCTCCGGAGAAGGGAGGGAGGGAGGGCGGAGGGAGGGAGGAGCGTCCTGGAACGTGAGCGTTTTCTTATTCGGCGTTTCGACAGTGGGCGGAAGGGGGGGGGGTTGAGGGAGGGAGGGAGGAGGGAGGGAGGGAGGGAGGAGCGTCCTGGAACGTGAGCGTTGTTATTCGGCGTTTCGACAGTGGGCGGAAGGGGGCGGGGTAGGGAGGGGGGGTCTGGCTCCAGACCTCTGCTCAGTGCGACTGTTTGGAACCGTGCGTCCTCTGGCGGAGACTCCACCTACTCGGAACAGGCGCCAAAACACAGCCAAGATCTACTCCATTGGGGGGGGAGGGGGGGGTGCGAGGGCCCGCGCCGATCAGCAAAGCAAGGAATAATCGAAAACGATCACGACACTCTCAGAGCGATTGGTCCCGATCCTGGGCACGCCCGACCCAGACCCCCGGACGTCGCGATGTTGGCACAACGTGGACACATCAGGCTCTGCAAGGTAGGTGTGCTGGGCTCTGTACGCCGACGCTTCTTCCGGCCCTGTACTGAAGCTTGCACAATAAAGCGGATCCTGGTGTATACTGGATTTTTTTTTTTTTTTTTTTTTTTTTTTTTTTTTTTTTTTATATATATATATATATATATATATATATATATATATATATATATATACGTATAGAGATTATGTTTGTTCGTTGTTTCCCCGGGGAACGGAAAACAAGGTATACACCACACCACCCCAACGTCGCCCCCGACCCTCAGTAAAACCTGGGGTTGACAAACAACAGCCCGCCACTGGTAATGTATGTGTTCCAGTTTCCGAGCACAGGCCTGGACCCCTTCCTTGGGACCGGCTTTTCAACGCGAGTGCTTTTCTGACGGTCCCTGGTCCCAACGAGGGCCCCCGAAGGCCGAAGACGGCAGAAAACCATCCATCGTGATTTTCTCCAGATGGAAGATACGGTCAGGAATGTTTGCTTGACATGTCGCCGCGGCGGCCCTGGCGACACGCTATGCCCTGCAAGTGGGTAATTAGCGTGTCGTTCCGCTCCGCGGGGCGGGAGGCCGCGAAACGCTCGGGTCGTTGACGCTGGGGGACAGGGGCGTGGATAGCGCGTCGCGCCGAACATTGGTGGGCCAGAACTGGCAGCGCGACACTCCAAGCAAGAGTTCCCGACTGCAAATCAAAGGGGACCTGGCGCGGGCCCCCCCAGAAGTTGCGAACCTTTCCCGAGGGCCTATGTCTTATCCTGCGTCGTTTTTTGAAGGTTCCCACTCAGGGCCTCTAGACACCGAAAATGGCCAAACACCTCCGTCATGATTCTTGTTGTGTTGGGTTCGCGCTGTTCTTTCCCACAACCAAAATGGGTTCCTTGTTCTCCACATCCAAAGTGGGGTCCTTGTTTACTCTGGCCACCCCGCGCAAGAACAGGAACACCCCGTTTTTCACTCACGCACTCACACACTCACATCATCATCGTCATCACCGGATCATCATCACTGACACATTCGCACACACTCTCAGTTTCCAACTCACTCATCATCATCATCGCCATCGTCATCATCATCATCACAACACCATCGTCAATCGAGTTTCGTCTGTGAGTGGATTGCGAAGACATCTCAGGCGGGAACTTCCTCTCCATGGGGCCCGCCGCTCATGTTTTTAATCCGAGCGGGCCAGCGGAACCTTGTAACTGTCGTCGCTCTTGGGTCCCTGAAGCGTGATATGGAGGAAACAGCAAGCGGGAACATCGTCTGTGAGTGAATTGCGAAGAAGTCTCCGGTGGGAGCCTCCTCCCCATGGGACCCGCTGCCCATGTTTTAATCCGAGCGGGTCATCGGAACCTTGTAACTGTCGTTACTTTTGGGCCCCTCAAGCCTGAATGTGGAGGGTGTATCAGGCGGGGGCCTTGTCTGTGAGTGAATCGCGCGGAGGTCTCAGGCGGGACCCCTCTCCGTATGGGGCCCGCCGCTCATGTGTTTCATTCGAGCGGGTCACTTCTGGGCCCCTGAAACCTGGATGTGGAGGAAGTATCAGACGGGTGGCGGCCGCTCTGTCCATCGCGCTCGACCTTCGCGCATGCCGCGAACGCACACGCACGACGTGCAGGAGTCCACGTACAAGCGGCCGCACAACCACTTCGGGTGCGCCCCCATCGTGTTGCACCTCGGCGATTTCTTGCAGCTGAAGCCCGCGGGCAACACCAGCCTCCTGACGGATGCGGACGAGCTTCAGGACGACGAGTCCTACAAGTAACAAGTACGCGGGGCCGCCGACGGTGGAGATTCAGCACACCATCGGGGTCTTCTGTCAGATCCCCTGCGTCTTCAAACCCGGGGACCTCTGATCACGTTCTTGGGCTGCGTGCGCGGGGGCAAACCCTACCCGCCAGAGGTCTGGCCCGCCTGGGAAGCGACGCTGACCTCGGACAACCACGGCGTCCTGGACACTCGGCGCCAGCGCGAGAGCTTTCGGCTCAGCTACGGCATGGGCATCTACTGGGATACTCTGGCGAAGTGGATCAACACGCGCGCTCAGCGCGACGCGCGGCCGTCTGGGCGTGCCCCTCGTTCTCCTGCAGGTCGTGGACGAGTGCAACATGATTCAAAGCGATCCCGACGCGGGCTGGCGCCTCCTGGACGTTCCAAACATGCACAAGACGGGGGGCATCCACGGCGTCTTACCGGCCCACGTCGGCATGGATGTGCGATTCACGGCAACGCACAAAGAGAATAAGAAAAAGTTGGGGCTCGCGCGGGAGCCACGGGCCCCCATCGCGCCCTTCGAATTTCACCCCGAGGACGAGCAGCGGTACGAGGAGTACTCGCCGGGTCAGCTTCTCCGCCACTTGCCGCAGGGAATATGGCTGCAGGTGCTGCTAAACGATGTCGAACTGCTGCTACACAGCGCCGAGGTGTTGCTGCAGGAGTCCCCGATCATCAGGAGGTCGCCGAGGTGCTGCTACACGCCGCCGAAGGCGCCGACGACGACGGCGAGGCCGAGGCGCGGGCGAGGAGCTTGCTCATGTCCAGGCCCAGCGAGCAGGAACTCACGTGGCAGAGCTCGGGGCCGCACGCCGTGCGCCACTCGGGGTTCACCATGACGCACGCGTCGTACCTCACCTCCGCGCTGTCGCAGGGCCGAGCGCTGCGCAAGGGCGTCACCATCGACTGCGCGAGGGACGAGGACGCTGGTCGCCCGTGCATGTCGGACGAGCAGTGGTGGCTGCACCTCTACGTCATGTTCACCCGCGCCACGCGCATGCGGAACATGCAAATTCTGCCGCCGCCGCCGCGAGAGTTCCTGGAGCGAGGGCCGCCGGCATCCTTGCCGAAGGCGCTCCTGGAATTCGACGTCAGAGCGGCAAGCTCCAAGGCAGAGGCGGAGCAGCTCGCGACAGCGCTGGGTTTCGTGCTGCTCCCCGCCTGAGCGCGGCGGCACCCCGCTCGGAACCCGCGGGGTTGTCCAAACGGCTTGGTTTCGCGCGCCAGCGGCTCGCGGAGTTGTCCAGACTGCCTGGCCCGCGGGGCTGTCCCCGACGGCAGCGCGATTTCGCCGTCGGAGAACGCGCCCCTGCCAGGCGTGGCGGCTAGGGCGCTGAGGGAAATCTACGCGCGCGCCCCTGCCAGGAGGAAGGAGAGGTGCAGGAGGAAACGAACGGGGCGGCGATGAGGAGGCGGAAATGGAGGAGGAGGAGGAGGAGGAGGAGGAGGAGGAGGAAGGCAAGGCAAAGGTAGAGGAGGAACAGGAACGTGAGGAGGAGAGGGAGGAAGTGGAGGAGGCGGAGGAGGAGGCGGACGAGGAAGAGGATGAGAAAAGCAACGAGCAAGACGAGAAGGAACAGGAGGAGGAGAAGGATAATATATAGGAGGACGAATATAACAAAGGTGAACGGCAATCTCAATCGATTCCCATGTGGGGTCCTACCGTCGGAACATTTTTCTCAGCACACCACCGCGCACGAACCTCACACCTCTCGTCCTTTCCTCCCCAATCACTCATTCACGCACAGTCACACACTCATCATCCGTACCATCACATCATCAT